CAGGAGCAGCAGGAGCAGCGCGAGCAACAGGAGCTCCATCAGCAGCAACAACAGGACCACCACCTACAGCAGCAGCAGCAGCAGCAGCAGCAGCAAGCAGCAGCAGCAGCTACAAGTGTGCTGCATGCGGCGGCTGGCTGTATGAGCGTTTCTACCCCTGCTTTCTCCCCATAGACGCGGGGTGTATAGGCAGTGGGGCCCCCGAGGATGTGGGGGCCTTCGTGGCCTCTGTTGCGGGGGCGGGGATCGTCTCCTCCCGCGCTGGGATCGACCCCAAACCCTCCTCGGCCAGAGGTGACCCTGTGGGGCCCCCGGGGCCCCTACAGGGTAAAACGCATGCACAGGGGGCCCTCTTCGTTTCTCCTTCTTTTGCTTATGCTGCTGACCCTGCATTCGCTCCCTATATACACCTCAAGGTATATGTAAACCCTAAACCCTAAACCCTAAACCCTAAACCCTCGAGTCTTGTTCTATAGACAACAGCCGCAAACCCGCTTCAGTAAAGTTGCTGCTGCTGCTGCTGCTGCTGCTTGTGTTGTTTATGCTGCTGCTGTTGCTGCGCGTTGCTATTGCATCGCTTATCTCTTGCTGCTCCGGTTGCTGTTGCTGCTGCTGCTGTTGCTGCTGCTTCTGTTGCTGCTTCTGTTGCTGCTGCTGCTGCTGTTGCTGCTGCTGCTGCTGCTGCTGCTGTGCAGGAAGCAGGATGCCGGCTGCAGGTGCTGCTGGAGTGTCTGGTGCATCCGCTGGGTTTCTCCCCCTGGCCGAGGTGTATGTACACCTCAGAGCAGCACAACAGGGATTTGATAGACAGCAGCAGAATGGCATCTTCTGCTGCTGCTGCTGCAGCAAGAGCAGCAACTGCAGCATTCCTCAGCCGCGCGGATCGTCTCACAGCTGCTGGCCTGTGCCCCCCTCCCACTCCTGCTGCTGCACCCCTGCTGCAGCAGCAGCAGCAGCAGCAGCAGCAGCAGCAGCAGAAAGAAAGGAAGTGGAGAGAGACAGTGCCTGCAAGCCGCGCTGCTCACTTCTTAGATTGGCGGGTCTCTGACACTGCAGCACTTGTCCCCTGTCGTCTGCTGCTGGCTGTCGTGAGGCAAGAAAGCAGCAGCAGCAGCAGCAGCAGCAGCAGCAACAGCAGCAGCAGCAGACAGAATGTGGCGGATGCGCTGCAGGCTGACCTGCTGCAGCTGCTGCTGCCGCTGCTGCCGGCGATGCCGCACCTCACGGCCTTCCGAGGAGACTACAAACGAGAGCCCGGTGCAGCAGCAGCAGCAGCAGCAGCAGCAACACCAACAGCAGCAGCAGCAGCAGCAACAGCAGTGGCACCAGAAGCAGCAAGAAGTGCAGCACCACGTCCAGCAGATGAATGTAAGTTTGCGGTGAAGGTTAAGACTGAACCGCAGCAGGACCAGCAGCAGCAGCAACAGCAGCAGCAGCAGCAACAGCA